ATTGCATGCTATTTAGCCAGTGAGAGTGACATTAAATAGTGACCTCACCAAAGAAAGATGGAGAAAAAGGAGGAGGAGGAGGAGGAAGAGAAGGGGAACAAAGGAAAGAGAAGACGACGAAAAAAGAGAAGGAAAAGGAGAAGGAGCAAGAGAAGAGGAAGAATTAACAAAAGAAAACAAAAAACAACTGGGTTAGGTGGCACATGTCTGTAAATGCAGCTCTTGAGAGGCTAAAGTGAAAGGATCATTGAGAGTTCAAGGCTAGAGTGCACTACATCATGAGTTCAAGGCCAGACTAGGCTACACAGCAAGACCTTGTCTCAAAAAAAAAAAAAAAAAAAAAAAAGACAAAATTAAATGCCTATATCTTCTACTCTGATTAGCTAGATAACTATACACAATGTATTGACCATTGTTACTCCTCTATTATCTTGTTTTGAAATTTTGTTTTTTATTTTATTTTTTTTTTTTTGTCTTTTTCCTTTTTATCGGTACCAGGGATCGAACTCATGACTGCCTGCTTTTAAGGCAGGCGCTTATGCCGCTGAGCTAAACCCCCAGTCCCGAAATTTTGTTTTTTCTTTAAAATAAATTAAAAAAGAAAATAACCCAAGATTTCTGAAAATTATCAAATTGTTACATAATTAGAAGAAAAATTTGCACCAACTTTTATCATATAGGAAGCAGTTTTGGGGCCTAGGGATTTACCTCAGCCGCATAAGCACCTGCTTTCAAGCAGGCAGTCATGAGTTCAATCCCTAGTACCGATAAAAAAAGGAAAAAGACAAAAAAAAAAAAAAAAAGGCAGCAGTTTTATATACATAAGTGTATACATGCATGTGTAATTGAAGTTTTATGCATACATAATTTTGATAATTTAGAAGTGAACAAATTATAATTTATATTCACATATTGACTTACTGGTGAATTTGCAATATACAGTGATAATTAGATATGTAGACTATCACTATTGGCTATAAATATCAGCAAATTTGATCTCCAACAGGCTGAAATGGTAAGGAAAGAAGTGTACTTTTTCCCAAATAACTAGTATTGGAGGATATGTTGCAGGCATGGTAAGATCAGTGACTCAATAATGTCATACATGCTTTTTCTATATCTGTCCTCCTTTCCTCAGTGTGAGGATTTACCTGTAAGCTGGGCCCTCTCGATACAGCCGCAAGACTTTCTCCTGTCACATATGTGGTGCTTTGAAATATGTCCAAAAATCCTTTAATAGTCTCCCTTCCCTTCAAAAGTGAAGCCTAATTCCTCTCCTCTTAAATGTGGGCTGTTCTCAGTGATTCACTGTTAGTGAATAGAATGTGGAAGAGAGCCTAGTCTCTTGCTCCTAAAATTAGACATAAAGGCATTGTGGTTTCCTGCTTGCTTTTTCTCTCTCTAGCAAAAGCCACCTACAATGTCATGAGGACACACAAGTACTCCTATAGAGAGACCTATACAGCAAGTGACTGAGGTCTTCTGCCAGTAGCCAGCAATGATGTTAACAGCCATGTGTGTAAGCTGCCTTGGAGGCAGATCCTTCAGTCTGAACATGGTGGCTCATGTCTGTAATCCTAGCACTCTGGGAGGTTGAGGTGGGGGGATCCCAAGTTTGATCCCAGTCCAGGCAATTTAGCAAGACCTCATCTCAAAATAAAAAATAAAAAAGGGCTGGGGATGTATTTCAGTGGTAGAGTTCTTGTCTAACATGTGTGAGGTCCTGGGTCCTATTCCTGGTACAGAAAAAAAAAAAAAAAAAATCCTGACTTACAAAAAGTGTGAGATAATAAAGATATATAAGTTACTTGTAAATTATTTCATAGCAATAGGTAATTTATGCAACACCTATATGTAACAACGTTCAAAGGAGAAAAGGCGTGGCTTACTTTCCATTATGAGACTGAGCAACTCTTTGATCCATGAAATAGGGTAAGTGTTCCGGTCTCTGTCTTTATCTCTCATTTTTTAAGACTTCCTGACAAACTCCAGCCCTCCCCCATTTTGTCAGGCGGACTTGGTCATATTCCAATTACATAGCCAATTACAATAAGAGAATAGTATTGCCACAGTTGATTTGTGCTGAAAAAGATCCACCCCTGGGGCTGGAGATGGAATCTGCTTTCTCTGAAGCAGAGGATTGTGCTCGGAACATAGACTGTGTTAAGAGTTAAGATAGGGAGCTGGGCACGGTGGCCCATGCAGATATCCTAGCATTCTGACAGGCTGAGGCAAGGAGCTCAAAAGCTTGAGCCCAGCATGGGCAGTTACTAAAGTGATTTAGCAAGAACCTGTCATAAAATAAAAAATAAAAAAGGGCTGGGAATGCAGTTTAATGTGAAGGCCCTAGATTCAATCCCTACCACCCAAAACAAATCATACACACAAGAATTAGGATAGGGAATAAATATTAACAGGTGACTTAATCAAAGTAGTATAGGTTATAGTGTGTAACAAAAATCAAATTCTTAATGACTTAGCTCATAAAAAGTGTGTTTCTCTCATACTAATACCCAATTTGCCTTGGCATGGAGACCCTGGCTGAAACCAGTATCAGCTGAACATTTGCTCCTTGGCTCTCTACAACAGTGGAGTAGGAAAGCAGCCAACTATTTATTGAAACCTAAGTCCTTGTCCTGGAAGTGACACATATCTCTATTTATTTATTCATTCCTCTGGTCTGAGGCTTGAACCCAGGGCCTTCACATTGAGCTATATTTGGAGGTGGGGTTTCAGTCAACTAGATTTTCCAAAGTAGGCTCAAACTTGCAGTTACACAGTGTCTCAGCCCCCTAGAGTACTGAGATTACAGGCACATGTCACCACACCCATCTACTTTATTAACCAAAGGAAATGCCTAACTTTGAAGAGATAAGGTAATACAATATTATGATGACCAAATATCAGAGACCTAGCAACATTTGGTGAGCAATACGGATGATGACCTTGTTAGTGGGGCAGAAGCTTGGTCTACAGTGTAGTTGTGTTGTGGCAATAGTACCTTTAAGATGTGGGTGTGTCAGCTTTCATCTTAAAACAGGAAATACTATTTTTGGCTCATAGTTTCTGTGTTCAGTCCATGGAGATTTGGCTCTCTTGCTTTGAGACCGGAGACATGGCATGCCCTGGTGGAAGGGCATGATGGAACAAGCTGTCTTAAGTCGTGGCAGGTAGGGAGACAGAAAGAAAGGGAAGAGGAGAGAGAAACGAGTGAAATAGATGAAGGGAGAGGGAGAGGGGAGGAGGAAGAGAATAGCGTGTTCTGTCACAGCCTATTGGATGGTGCCACCTACATTTAGGGCAGGTCTTCCTGAAAGGTTTGCTGTTTCACAAGCCTGTTTTTGGAAACACCTGCAAAGACACACCCAGAATTGTGCTTTACTAAGTGCCTAGGCATTCTCAATTCAGTCAAGTTGACACTCAAGATTAACCACTGCAATTGGGTCTGATGAGCTCCGCCCTCATAAATGGAACGCTGGTTTTGAGTGAATTCATTCTTGAGAGTGTGTAGATATAAAGTGTGTCTGCCCTTCATGTTTGCTTCCTCCTGCATGTGCTGATTCCCTTCCTGATTTTGTACTATGTCATGATATATCTGAGTTACCCGCCAGATCACTAATTTACGCTGTTTGGACCCTAAAGCCACTAGAATCATGAGTTAAATAAATGTCTCTACTTTGTAAGTTACCTGACATCCAGTACTTTTTCATAACAACATAAAACAGACTAATGCAAGGAGAAAAGCCAAGTTTCTTACAAAGAGAACCCTACATAGTCTTTCCACACTCTGTTTCCTACATTTCCTCAGATCTCTTAAAGGATATCTTTTCTTCTAGTCTTTGTCCTTTAAGCCCAGAAACAGTTAATTAGGTTGGATTTACTGTGTATGGCACAAGGACAGGCCCCAGTTTAATTGCTGGTACAAGATCTTAGCATGTGTGGACAGGTCTGAACCGACTTGGAAACTTCAGCGGGAACAATATTGACTCAGCACCATGTGTCTAACTGCAGCTGTTATGTGATTTTGCTAATAACACTAAACTTGCATTGAAATTTTACAGTGCTTTGGATGTTGAAATCTGCCCGTTAAGAGCTCACTTTTTCTCAGTATTCTTCATACTGTGGAGTGGTTATTATTGTAATAAAACATGTGATAGCTTCCTGGATAAAGAAAAACATCAGTTCTAAACGGTGGTTAGTTTGTTTCAGACCTTGAAAGACTCCAAGAAGTTGAGAACTGTAGGACTCAAGGTTACCTATTTTGCATTAACATTTGCAGTCTTATTTTTGTTTGAGGACTGACTCTAGATAAATCTGTAATGAAAACACACTTTCTGATTCTAGCTGTAATGTAATTCTGGCTAGCTAATCTCGGTTGTCTTTCTGAGCAGCCCTCTGGTTGCACTTACTTTGTCTACCCACACTTACTTTGCTTTTCTTGTTCTGCTGTTTTCCCACAGTACATTCTCTTGCTCTTATCTTTACAGTGCATGCCATCTCACTCTGTTATAGCTCATTTCCTGTGTATCTTCTTTCTGAGTTATAAATGCTTTGAAAGTAGTCTCCACGCTGTTTGCATTTTTTTTTTTAAATTCACAAGTCTAGCATAGTAAATAGTACCATGGTGCCTGGTGGTTAGAAGTATTCACACAACTGTAGAATGAGTATCAGATATTACAAGTATTAAACTCTGGGAAGGAGGAACCTATGGCATTATATTTTAGGAATTTCCAACAATACAAGAGTCTTTTAAAGTGTACTATAAAGGTCTTCTGGGGTGGGAATTTGGCCAGTGGTAAGCACTTACCATGTGCAAAACCCTGGGTTAAACTCTAGCACAGCAGAAAAAGAAAACATAGACCTATTTGACCTTTTTTTTTTTTTTTTTTTTAAAGCAAAGTCTAGCTATGCTATGCATGCTGGCCTTTAACTCATTTATGTAATCCAGGTTGCCCTTGAACTCATGGCAATCCTCCTGCCTCAGCCTTCTGAGTGCTTAGCTATAGGCATTTGCCACCATGCCTGGGCTGTTTTGACTTTTTCCTTTTGTTTTCTTTTCTCCTTTTTTTTTTTTTCTTCTGACTTCTTAATGCAGGATAAGCTAGTGGTATCTTTTTTTTTTTTTTGGTATGGGGGATCAAATTAACAACCTTGTGCTTGGCAGGCACTTATGCCACTGAGCTAAATCCCCAGCCACTAGTGCTATGTTTTGAACTATAACCTTTGGAAAAGGAAACTCGGCCCTTCATTTAAACAGGAACAGTTGATCTAATTAACTCCTTATAAGGTCTTTCTGGGAGTGGCTTCCAATTTGTCCTTTGGGGTTGGGCAGGTGACATTTGCTATCACTAAGTGACTATAGAGGAGAGAAATCTCTAGGGATGGGGTGAAAGTGTTTGAAGCTCCTCTGGCACTCCTATATAGTTCCCTCTGGTAGTCCCATTTTCCTCCCTTCCCCACTGCACAAAAGTGCTATCTTTGTGGTGCAGGTGAATTTTGTTTTAATTTTGTGGACTTTATGATGAATGTGACTCCTTTACCAGGACTTCCATTATCAAGACGTGGTTGAACTCTTAGCTTTTCCAGTCATAAACCTGCTAAAACATTACATTGCATGTAAATGTAGACCCGAAGGGAAAATCATCTGTTAATAACTTTATAGAAATTGTGGTCAGTCTTGGTCTTGCGGGTGGTGACTGGCCATTGTTGGCTCATCTGAGCTAGGGAAAAGGGTCCATGTGCAGGGTGTCGTCCAGCTGTAGAGCAGATCGGCTGGAAGCCTGGAGGAGTCTGCCCACTTTGCAGGAGTTTTGAAACTCGCTGGTGTGGAGGTTGCTGGAATATCTTCCGCATTCCTCTTCCTCCTTCTCTGGTGGCCACAGTTCCCGCGCGGGGGAGGGGCGAGTGGCAGCCAGCAGAGCTGAGAGGACAGAGCCCAGCGTGCCCTGGTGGCTCCCAGGGCCCAGGGCACGTGGACAAGGAGTCTCTTTAAGAACATAGTAGAAGTCTCTTAAAACAGGCAAACATGGGATCACCTTCACAAAGCTCAGAAGGCCACTCTCATTTTCAACTACAGTTTTATACAGGTCCATTCAGACTTACTAATGTCTCATTTGTAAAGTGGGAATATAAAAGAAAAATTACAACAAATATTAAAAAAAAAAAAAAAAGGAAGCCTGCAGCACAAAGCAGGTTCTTTTCCTGTGCATAATGGAAAAGAACTAAATAACCTTGCTTTTGTTGCTTTTGTTCCAGCTCAATATAAGGATAGATCCGACCCAACAAATGTTTCCTTTTGTTCCGGGCCCTGTAAAGAACCATTTCTCTACAGAGAAAGAATCCCCTTTGTACGTTCCTGCCCGACAGGCCCAGGGGATTATCAAGAGAAAGCTCCCTCGAGCTGTTTTCCGGGTTGGAGTCTCGTTCTTGAGTAAGGGCTGGTTGCCATGGCGACGCTCCCCAGAGGCCCCGCCCTACCCCTTCCAGTGCAGCCCGCGCAGCAGCTAGCTGTTAACTAGGTCAGCCCGACCTCACGTGCTCCTCCCGCACAGCTTCGGGACGCCAGGGAAATTCCAAACTGTACCTCTCTCCTGACCTCTGAGGCCCAGAGGAGGAGAAAAAGAGAGCGAGAGAGAGAGACAAAAAAGGCAGCTCTTTGCCAGACATTGCTGAATTATCCTCGGAGAGAAAAAAAGAAAAAAAAAAAACCATTAGATCGAAAGCTTGTTGAAGGCAAGAACCACCTTCTCATCACTGAACCAGTTCTTTCTCTGATGCTGTGACGCTCACCTGACCCGCAGCTCGAAGTAGACTGATGCACAGTAGGATCTGAAAAAGATTTCATAACTATTAGCCAGGGAGGTGGCCTTAAGGTACCAGTTTGAAAAGAAAGGCCTTTGGAGTCACAATATTTGTCTGCTCTACTGTAGACGTATAATGTGAGAAAAAAATCTTTACAAATGTCATTCTCATCTCTAAAATGGGGCGATAGTAACCTAATTCAGGTTCACAAGTACTGGATCATGAGATACAAAACGTGGTACTGCATCTGGCTCGTAACGCGCTTGGTATTAAGATTATTGCTGTTATTATCTCCTCTAGCTTACTACATTTTAAGTGGGAAGAAGCATTGCCTTCTACTTAAACCAACCCCAAATAACAAAAAGCCTAGCGTTGTTCGTAACAGACTAGGCCTAACCGTTAATAAGATTAATATATTCTTAAGTGCTTCATGAATTATTTATCTGTGTAATAAGCCTCAAATAGAACATGCCAGTGATGTTTCCTGTACGATAGAATGTCGCACATAAATAATGCAAAGGGGACTGTGTTCCGATCGCACATCCCTATTATGGTAAACCGAATGAAACAGCATTTTGCCAGCTTTCAGCTTGATCCACTCCTCTCTCCCTCACCGGTCTCTCTCAAACCCACGCGCGGCAGTCCTGGAGCAAGTGTTTGTGAGCTCTGTAAGCACCACGGCCCCCGCCCCGCCCCGCCCTTCCTATACCAGGGCTGCTTCTAAGTCCCAGAAACGTGGAAATGTGTAATCTGGAGGTACTCACCTGGTGACTCTGGAAGCTTCTGAACATTTTGGACACTTAGCAATCAGGAAATTCCCTCTTTTCCATGTCCTTGTCCCCGCCCCCACAACTCCCAGGCGGGCTGTTTCTAGAACTCATACGACGCTTTTGCGTTTTTTTTTTTTTTAAAGGGGTTAAAGCTGTAACTGGCCCGGAAAGACTGAGCCAAACTTGGCCACAGGATGTGCACACCCTAGACAGCTGTGTTCCACAACTCAGATTAGGAAAAAAGCCCTTCAGGGTGGGACTGATCAGTTGTCTGGAGGTTCTGGCCTCTGGGGGGAGGGGAGGCTAGGATAGAATTGTCTTCCTGGTGTTACCTAATACTGCTGCATCGCTGCGTTGTGAATGCATTTTTTTGGACACATGTTAAGAACATGTGGACAGCATGGAGCATATGTATTGTCAGTTAATGCACAGGGCCGAGGGAGGTCTGGTCAAAGGCTGCATCAGGGCCACTGTATGTAGAGCGCTCCTAGGACACCTCTGTGCAGGGTTCTGAGTTTGGGCGATAAGGCAGCAAAGGTGTACAGAGATGGTGTGAACTGCAGGGTGTGAAGTGCGGTTCCCTCTCCTTCAGACCCTCTCCTGCGTTCCCCTCTTAGCGCATACACATTAAACCATCCAGACACGTCGTCCTCCCCTCCCCCAACACCGCAGCCAGCTCTCTCTGAAAACTGATACCCTGAGGCCCTTTTTCCCTCACCAGCCATAATTAGGAGCAGCCAGAGAGAAAATGCGGACTGGATTCTGGCACAGAAGGTGTGCTCAGTGCTTTTCCCTCCAGCAACAGGGCACTGTTCCGGCTCCAGGCCTTGTATTTCATCTGACTTTGCTACTAAAGGAAACTGCTTTAGGCTCCAGCGAGTCCAAGACAAATCCATTTCTTTCTGCGAAATCCATTTTGTATTTTCTGTTTCACCCTAGTGATGTCTCAGCCGAGGCTGTTGTTCTCAGTCCAGCTCAGAAACTGGCTCAAACCGCCCTGAACTGGATTTGGTGGCTGTTGAGACACAGTTTCTGCCTCTTTGTTAGGGCGGAACCGGCCTCATTCGCTGTTTCCCTCCCTCCTGATCTCCAGTCACCAGCAGCAATCCCCACCCCCTCCAGTTTGGCATTTTTTTACCCTTCCCTGGGCCAAGACCCCAGGAAGTAGATTAAATTCTTGTAGAAAGTGGATTTCGGTTGTAAACCTTATGCTTTTATTAACTGTTTTAGTTCTGCAGAAAGTTATCTTACCAATTGACATGGTGCCCTTAAAATCTTGGCTGTCGTGCTAACCTAGAATTACCCTTAAATTTCCATCAAAGACCAAGGGTTTTGGTGGAGCACATTGTTAATTTCCGTTCTGTGACTATTAAAATTAAACTAATTCGTTAACTTCTTTGCTGGGAATTGACAAACATAATGTATGGAATTAAAAAAAAAAAAAAAACAGTCCCCATCCTGACTGTCGGCTGCAACTGTGCAGTGCCTACAGGAAAAACTAGAGAACTGAGATGTTTTTGGTTTTCGAACTTGTAATTTTAACCCTGGATCAGCTTCTTGGAATTATGTGGGGAAGAGGTCTGACTGGGGAATGCGCGGGGACACTGCTAACATCATATAGGTGGAGACAGACCTGGGATTGTGACAGAGCGAGGAGGATAGAAGAGGCTGCGGTTTTGTAAACTCCTTCTATAAAATACAAGCATTGCTAAGGTTTTGGAGCTACACTGAGGGGACAGTTATATAACATAGTGTGGTAAATGCCACCTCATTGTCCACCTAAAAAGATTAATTTTATGTTTATGCGAATTTTACCTCAGTTTTTAAATATGAGCTGTTTTTTGGACAAGAATTTCTCACTTGGAGTTTTTTGAAAATTCAGAGGCAGTTGGATTATAAACAACCATGATCTGGGTGTGGCTTCTTGTGGTTCCTGACGACTCGCTTATTGCCCTCTGCTGGCCAAATTAAGCAACGCATCAAGATGTCACAAGGCCTTCGAAGCAGTCTCTTTGTTAATCTGTCCAAGCACAAATACACCACCAATGACTAAGCCTTATTCTCCTTTGCTGCACGTGCGTTTTATTTGTTTACTTATATGTGTAGCACTGAAAGGAGCTATTTTGTGGTGTTATGTGAGATTAACTATATAAATTTAACAATTTAAAATTCAACCTTGAATCACAAAAAAGAGACAAACACGTTGCCATCTCTCCTACATTAAAAACTACAGTTAAACATGCTCGTTTAAGTGTGTAATTTCGGTGGAGCATAAAGTCTTGGAAAAAAGCCAGTGACACCAATAGATCTGGAAAGACTATTTTTACATGCAAGAGGGCGGGACTCTGCTTTGTCTGGTGAATCAGTGCTCTAAGAAAGATTCCTTTGTAGGTTTGGAATAACGTAATTTTTGAAATCTGTGTAAGAAAGAGATGAATTTATCTACCAAGTTTGTTTTTATGAGATTTAAGGATGATAAATAATTTTGCAGGAAGGCACACAGTTATATGCTATATAGAGTCTTCCAAAATTTTGAGTAGCAAAGCAATTCAGGAAAGGTAGAGTTAAAATCCAGGCCAACTTTTGTTTGTTTGTTTTTGTCTTTTTGAGAAAGGGTTTCACTATGCAGTTCAGATTGGCCTTGAACTCACTTTGTGGTTTAGGCTGGCCTCAAACTCATGGTGATCCTCCTGCCTCAGCCTCCTGAGTGCTGGGATTATAGCTGTGTGACACGTGCCTGATAAGGCCATCTTTCTAACTGTTAAATCAGTTCTTACTTCAGGAACTTCAGACTTTCTGTTTTACATGTTACCCCTCCCACCAGCCTCTCCTATTCTAGGGTCAAATCTTGTCTTGTGCATCACCACCTTAGAGAAACCTGCATGCATGTATGATTTAATTAAAGTAGTGGATTCCTCCTACTTTCGTTTTAAGTGCAAACACCTTTTAATCTGTGATAGAACCACTACACGGTTTTATGCATTTATTTTGTGTGTATTCTCTGTCTCTTCCCACTAGCTTTCTAACTCTTCTGAAGCCATGTCTGTCTGATCAGACTGTCTAACTAGCTCTTGGCAGAATAGCAGGAAAAAAAAAAAAAAAAGCAAGGAATAAATATTTGTTGAGCAGATGAGTTAAATTCAAATACCGGTTTTCTGGACTCGCTCCACTGCTTTTGGATTCTCCTTTTATACCTTGTGCTCTTTGAAGATCCAGCCTGTTTTCTTTTTCCCCGTGAACTCTCAGCAGCTACTGATTTATTTTAGGATTTCCCTTCCCATAATTTGAGTTCTGATGAACTCAATTTGAGTAGAATTAGTTCCTAGATTTTATCTCCTAAAAAATGAGAATTAATTCAGTGATTCCTGCAGCCTGTATTTTCTTGTCTATGGTAGCTGATGAATGCTGAGATGGGATTTGACCTGGGTTTTTGATTTCTGAGTGTGGAGCTGTCCACATGGTGCTTTCTTTCCCACCCTTACAAAAACTTTTCGTATCATCTGAGAGAAAAGGCTTACAAATGCCTTCTACTAAAAAGTCTCCTCCTGCTGGCCAGAGACAGACTTGCCCATGTGAAGATTTAGATGTCCAAAATTTTTTTTTTTGCAATTTTTATATAAGTACATTTTACATATATGTAATGATAGCATTCATCACAGGAAACTTGTGCCTGTAATAATGTCCAGAACTTCAAGCAGACATTACATCTCTGAGATCATAGAGAGGAGACATCACTGATTTATCAATTTCAGCACGCAAGAATAATTCCTTTGGGAAATTTCTTTACCTAGGCAAATTTGCTACAAAATGCTGTAACTTTCGCTTCTTTAACTGGTCCAGGGTAATAAAGACTGAATATAAAGTTCAGAAAAGCTTAAAGCTCTGAAGCCTTGGTTTTTGTCATTCATTTTGTTGTACTCTTTCGAAAAAGAGATGTCTATTTTACTAAGTTGTAATCTTTGTAATAGCATTTATAATAACCTTGTCTAGTTATTGTTCTGCATATATAAGCAACATCGTATATATAAAATCACCTAATCCTCACCTCATCCTTCCCTTTTAGGGAGAATACCATTGCTTCTATTACTGATGGAAGTATAGAGACACAGAGAGGTTAGGTAACTTACTTAAGGTCACACAGTTACTAGGCAGCAGAACAAGACACAAACCCAGGCTATTTGAGTACATACTCTTAGAACTGTTGTGCCTACTATGCATGTTGGCATACTATGCACGTTAAGTATTAGTTTCTTAACCAGGCGTGATGGAACACGCCTATAATCCCAGGATGTGTTAGGCTGAGGCAGGAGAATCACCATGAATTTGAGGCCAGTTTGGGCTACAAAGTGAGTTCAAAACATCCTGAACCGCATAGGGAAACCCTGTCTGAAAAGGACAAAGACAAAAAAAATGTTTCTTTTTATTTCCTCTCTTACTCCCAAGAAAAAGGGAAATTACTTCCTAAGAGGTCTTAGCACAAAACCATAGAAATTTAGAAACAAACTTGCTTTTTCAGATGAGGGAGAGCAAGTCCAAAGAGTCCACAGGTTTTGTGCTATGCGCTGGCAGCTCTGTGGGCCTAGATCCCAGCACTGCTAAGTAATCAGGGAGAGAAAAATGTTTCTTAATGTGTTTATCTAGTTCCTTCCTTTGTCCTTTTTGAAAATAATGGGGAAAGTTTTCTTTCTGAATTTCCCTTCTTTTCCCTCTCGGTTTTTGCAGTTACCTGGCACGTGCTGCTGCAGGAAGGAGACTTAGCTGAGCACAGAGCCGCTGCTTTGCCACAGCACGCAGAGGAGGGAGAAAGCCTTTGCGACTGCCAGCAGCACAGGGGGAAATTAGCGTTTGTTTTCCACTTGCTTTTTTTCTCATTCTTTTCTTCTTCAGTGCTGGAGACTCAACCTAGAGCCTCACACCTGCTAAGCAAGTGTTTAGCTGTTGAAAGTTAAGCCCCCGGGCCTTTTTTTTCAACCCAATCTTTTCATAATTGTTCCTGGCTCCAACTCTCTTCTGTGGACTAACACTGCAGGGGTCACCGCAGGTGTCACCCTGGTAAAAATTCAACCCAGCACAGAGATAGGAGAAGTACACTAAGACCATCAGCAGCTGGCTAATCTTTTTTCTCCCAGTATGAAAACAGCTTAACTTCTGTCCACATTGTGCCTTTATCTCAGTAGATGCCTTTGCACAATTTAGTGAACTCACTTTAGAGATAATTTTTACACTTTATGTGAACCACTATCCTTTTTTATTATCTTCTCTCAAAGAATTTTGAGTTGGCCATTAAAAAATGCTCCAACAGAGCACAAGAGATCATGATGTTTTGCTTTATGTTTGTTTGGCTTAAAATAAAAATTCCGAGAAGTATCACGTACAGGTCTCCTGTTGCAGAAGTGCCGCATAGCATAGCATTAGGAGCTTTGAACAGCACGGTTCTAAAAGGTCACCATATGGAGTGTTAGGCTGTAAACAGAACATAAGCTTCAGAAGAAATTTATATTTTATTATCATAGAAGAGGTATTTCTTTTTGTTTGTTTTTTATTCTAAAGAGGATAAAACAATAAAAACAAAACAAACCAGTGTAAAAGATACAGGACTTAAAAACATTAAGATATCAACAACTGTTACCATAATGCCACCTGATGTCTTCAAAATAGCTATAGATAAATTCAGACATAGTAAAAATCAAACAGAACAGAATAGAAATAATAAAACAATGAATGTAATAAAGGACTTCAAAACAAGCCAATAGTAAATCCAAAACTGCTACCATAATGTATCTTCATACCCTTGAAATAGCTTCTGCCATGGGATTTAACATAATAAAAAAAAAAAAGAATAAAATCCAATCCAACAAAACAGTGGAAACAATATAAGGCCTCAAAACAAGACCACAGGGAACCAACAATGGCTGCAACCCTCAGAAGGAGATCCTTCCCTAGATACCACACTGTGTTTTTTCCTTTTTTTATCACTACCGGGGATTGAACGCATGACTGCCTGCTTTCAAGGCAGGCGCTTATGCCACTGAGCTAAATCCCCAGCCTGATACCACACTGTGTAACACTATCCTCCAAACCTATAATCAGACCACTGGCACTAGA